CCGAGTTTCGATTGGTGTTTTAACAATGATTGATTGATGATTTCAAATAAATGTTATCACACTCATTTGCCTATTTTGAACAATATCAGTTTTGGTGTCATTACAATTGCTGATAATGTCTGGCCAACGGATCTAATGTATTTTGCGTGAACAACTGTTAAGAAACACTTGAGTCTTCCGGATAAAGGTTTTCGTGATTCTCCAAGTTTGGGGCCGATGTAGTAGTACTGTCTTGACATTTATGTTGAAAATTGTGAAGTTGGTGTTTGTTAACAGTTGTTTTGAGTTCCAGATATGATTCAATTGTCGAAATGCTGGCCTTGTTTTACCTATCCATTCGATAACATCTGCAACAGATTCACCTTGGTCATCAGTCATGCCGCTTAGATATGTAAAGGTTTTAAATCCTCCAAAGCTCCACCACCAAGCGTGATTCAGTAAATGCATGTTCAGACCCACTGCTGCTGAGGCTGCAACTACACTGATTGTCCTCTCCTGCATTTTTTGTTGTATTTAGGTTGGAAGAACCCGATCATCTGAGAAACAACGTATTCCTATACACTCGAAACGAACACAACGTTCATTTCAGTTATCCATTATTTTCTACAGTAATTCAAAATTAGAAGTCGCTCAAAATTTCTAGATTGATCAGAGTTAGACATTAACAGCGTTGAATGTGCCGGCCCAGTGGTCCAGAGATCGGACCTACGGGCACAAGACTGAAGGTCGTGGTTTTGAATCTTGTGAGTAGTAGAAGTCGTGGATGTGCTCTGTGACTGATGATTCCCATACCAAGATGAAACGGCCATCCAGTGTTTCCAGGTTCCTAATGATCGTGTCTAACTATGATTGATTGATGATTTCAATGTGTAAAAACATTAATCTCTAAAACTCTAAAATTGTCTATATGAATGAAATAAGTTAAAAGATGATTCTCAGAGAATATTAGTTTATCAAATGGTGAAGGTATGTTGATTCCATGAAACATTTCTCATTCTCATGGATGAAGTACTCTGAAATTTTATTAGCTTCTTAATTGATAGACAATAATGAAGCACATTTCAGAATTGTTAGATATACTTTTAGTTCATAAATATTTCATCTTCTTGTTCTAATTTCTGTCTACAGTTTTTTTTTCGCATGAAAAATTATTTTTCTCATCACAGAACGACCTCCAACAATCGCTCAATGCTCTGTTCAGATCCAAGAAATTTTATCCCGTGAGTTATACTACTTTAATGCATGTTAGTAGGTAAAATTAAATTCACTTGTTTCCTAACAAGTGCATAATTTCACGTATACAAACCTTAGACAATCTCTTATACCCTTCACATAGTCTCAATAAGTACGTACTTAAAATATGTTTACAGTTATGATATATTTGAATTAAAGTCAACTTATTCGTTATAATGTGTTAAGGTCAAGCGATTCGTGCCAGAAATTTTCAGATTACATAATATTATTAAACATTGTGTTGACTTATGTAACCATTTTCAATGGTAAGATATCTCGTTCCAGTTTTCTCTAGTTAGGAGTGATTTTTGAGCATGTAGGATAATGTTACATTTATCTTACATAGATCAATCACTTCAATAGGATCATCTTAAAAACACAAACTGTACATTTGAACGATCAGGTTTAAAAATGTTGATATTTCAGATCACAAATATACATAGTCTGAGGCATTGATCAATAGATTAGGGTTGAAAAAGTACAATGAGAATGGGAGCTGGTTAAAACTGGATCGAAAATAATGCCGCAGTAAAATCGATTCTTGTTTTTGAATCATTGCGCATGCACGTAAACATTTCGATTTGATGGGCTTGAACTATTACGAGTTTACCTTAGTCGGAAAACGAGAGCGAGGATCGTCCGGCGACATAACAGGCTACTCTAATCAGAGTGTCCCAAACCCTCATTGAGTAAAAGAAGAAGACTCGATATGAAGAAGAGCATGTATCCTAAAAGTATCCAGAAAGTACAATGTCCGAGTCCAGAAGAGGATGAAGACCCTGCAATAAGGATCTGGGTCTGTGTCCGAGTCATAAAACGTTACAGATAATACGTATTATACATTTAGGTCGAATAAGAAACAGCATCGAAATCTGTAACCAATAGGAAAAAACATTTGAAGTGACATTGATAGTCAGGATGACCAATAAGAAACAACATTGAAGTACGTGACATTTGATAACAAGGACGACCATAATATTGACCAGTAGTAATCGACCAATGGAATTTACACTTACAAAATGATTCTTCGTAAGATATTTTGGGGCAGAGTTTTGTAGGTTTGTGTTTTTACACATTTGAAATCATCCGTCAATCATCACTAGTGACTAGCTTCGTGAAGAAATTCTCGGAGTTCTAGTTGAGAAGACGTGACCAATGGAGTTCAACCCTGTCGGATGTAGGCAGTAACTATCAAAGACAAATGAGTGAGGTCGTGCGAAATCCCTAGATCAATAAGAGTTAGACATTGAATGCTGGATGCTTGCCTAGTGGTTCGATGGTTAGGCGTTGTGACTATCTTCCAAAAGAACGACTATCCACGCAACTTCATCAAAAAACATCAACTGAAATCATCAACAGAAGCGAAATCAAGTACAGGAACCAATAAACGGATCATCCTACCATACATAAAAGACATATCCGAATATACAGCACAACTATTGAGACCATTTGGAATAGGTGTAGAACACAAACCAACAGAATCCCTTCAATCAATCCTATGAAGACAAAGGTCAAAATAACAAAGGAAGAAAAACCAAATATCATCTACAGAGTAAGTTGCTCAGATTGTGAAAAACACTACATAGGACTAAGTGGACGGCCTCTTCATCAACTTCGTTTACGTGAACATCAGTTAGCAGTCGAACGCCATGACAATGCTTCCCTTATATCAACACATACGGACAACTATGGACATACGATCGATTCGATCAGTGTGGAAATACTGGATAGGGGGTGCACAACGAACGTTTGAGAATTTTTAGAAGCTTGGCACTCAGGTCAATCAGCAATCAACAAACACATCAACATTGACCCAATTTATCAACTAATCAGAAAAATCATAGGTGACATAGGATCAAGAAACAAATCAAAAGGGGGATACAATCAAAACAAAGCTGCAAACAACGACAGGTTTAAGGTCAACAGCAACCAATCAAGATCGAGGTTAGCAGAACAAGCTACAGATCAAACGTGTAGAAATTCGAATACTTCACTTCTATCTGAAGTTTGTGCTGATGATGTTGTTCAGAAGAAATGGAATCTCCACAACCAAACGATCGACCTCAGAGAACCAAGTACCACCACCACAATCATCCACCTGAGCTACAAATCTTCTCCAGCATCTCAAACTCATTTATATTCCTCTTATCCTACAACCCATTGCATAATGCCATCATTACAGATGGTAATGACTAAACCATAACGTTCAGTTTAAGTCTAGTGACTGATAAGTGGATGGATGGTAATCGGTGGTTAATAGTAATCATTAGTACTTACTTACTTGCTCCTGTTACCCCCAATGGAGCATAGGCCATTGACTAGCATTCTCCTTGTTCTTTCTTCTCATGCCTGTTTCCATTTGTCGACTTAATGTGTCCTTTAATTCTCCTCCTTTCTTTTCGCATTGAGGATTCCATGTGATTGCTTGTCTTGTGAAGCAGTTCGATGCATTCCTCAATGTATTTTCTACCCACTTCCAATGCTTCTTCCTGATTTGATTCATCAATATACTGATTGTAAAGCAATCGAAAGTCACCAATCAAAATTCACATTGAATGAATAAATTCAATGAGAGTATGCATTGAAAATCAACTGAACAGAAATCATCTCCTAAATCAGTCAGTATGTCAGTCAGTCAATTGATTTTCTGTTTTCTATTTGGCAGTTCAAAAACTTTCACATCCCTTGAAATTAAAACATGAACTGAAATAATAGAGTGGTGAATAAGTTATGAGGTTTATTTAAAAGACTATAAAAGTCATTGTAAAGTTAATTACATTCTTTTATAAGCCATTGAAATCCTATCTCAATGGTTGAAAGGTTGTGGAGACAAATTGAATTCCACTGAAATCATAAACCAACTTAAGTTAGACAATTTTTTAAAAACCATCAAACATTATTAGAAGGCTATTTCCTCTAGGGATGGGACTTCTGGACTATATGTATTATGTATGGATTGAATCCAAAGCCTTGGGCCTCCTAACATGCGAACGCCTTGTAATGAGTAATGTAGAGCTCGTCCCACTTGTGTTTTGACCTTGTCAGTCATTCACTCATATCTGTGTTGCTTTTATTGGTGTGTGTGTGAGTACGCCTATCTCACTTATTACATGTCTGGTTCACCACCAAAGTCGTGAGCCCAATGAAGTCACTGACAAGTAGACTGAGTCATGTTGGTAGATGTAGGCTAACTGATTGAGGTCCGCGAGATGACAGTAATCCATGGTTAAAGACCTTGAATGACATGACTCAATATCGTTTGCAATGACACAGGTGCATCCACTCTTCATGTTCTCTAAAATCCTAATCTTCTGGATTCGTCAACACCTCTACCTTTGTCTTTCTAATTGTTTTTCTCACTGAATAATACTTCTTGAATAATAACTTCAAATCCTAATCTTCTCCATGACCAATAATACTTCTATTATCTTTACCACTATTGGATTTGAATTGACATTTACTTCTCTGTGCTAATGCGTAATGACAACCTTAACTGATATACTTACATACGAATTTCTACGTTGTAATCGACAACTCAACTAATCTTCATCGATTCAAATAATACAACAACCTAACTTATGATCATATTATCAGTAATATATAGTTGACTATTACCAAAATTTTGAAAATAATATCGATAATTTATATGACATCATTCAGTTCATGAAATCATTTCAGTCACACACACACATTCATACTACTTAAATCCAAAAAATAAGTAGTGTATAATTTGAAACATAATTTTGAATATTTCTTTTTTGTTTTAGAGCAAATGATAGTTTCATGGATTTATTCTATCCACCACAATCTATTTCAATGAAATCTACTCATAATTATAATAATTTAAATAATGAAAAAAATTTATTCAACAATAACGATAATCATAATAATAACAATAGCCTACATCAAAATACGATGCATTATTTAAGAAGTATACGTAGAAAACGCAGAAAATTAATTCGACAAGGCAGTTTCAAATCATTAACTAATTATTCAATGTATAATCTGCATAAAACTACCAATTATGATAGATTTGAACGTAGTGTAAGTTATCAACCAACGAAATTCACCAGTGGCAATAATAATAATCATGATGATAGTACTAATCTGCATTTCACATTTCATTCATCCCATTCATCATTATCAACCTCTTGGTCATCAATTAATTCTAATGGAAATGTGGAAAATGTTAAACAGAAATCGGGACCAACTGAATTGTTTATGACAGAAACACCAATTTATCAATATGAATATATTAAGTCAATGGAAAATATTTATTTCCCATTTTGTGCTAATGATACACAGACAGGAGAAAATATAATGTAAGTAGATTAGAGTTATTGGATGAGATGGATTTTCTTGGATATGTGAATTAGTTGTAATTAATAGTTTAGTTGAATTATGTTTTGTGGTTAGCGCATTTTTTTTCAGCGAGTTAGTTGTTTTTGTGAGATGGGGTCGTTAGCCCCATGCCCAACCTTCCTCCTTTATCCGGACTTGGGACCTGTATTAATAGCCTCATAGGGGCTCCAGGCTTCCTTACTCTTTCTCCTGGTGATTGACTGGATTATGAAGACATTAACATCTGGAGGAAAGCACGGTATCCAATGGACACCTAGGATGCAGTTGGACGATCTGGCTCTTCAATTGCAAATGCAAGAAAATATGTTAGAGAAGAAAACCAGAGTAGCAACAACCTCACCAGCCGTAGGTCTCAACATACATAAAGGGTAAAAGCCAGATTCTACGATACAACACAACATGCATCAACCAAAATCACTCTTTATGAAGATGCGTTGGAGGACGTTAACACCTTTACATATCTGGGAAGCATCATCTACACAATTATAATACAAATGTCAAGACAGTTCTACTGTATCGGCTCCAAACTTGGAGAATCATGAAAATCATTATCCGGAAGATTCAAGTGTTTCTTAACAGTTGTCCACGCAAAATATATCGGATCCGTTGGCCAGACACCATCAGCAACAATCTACTATGGGAAAGAACAAACAGGATTCCAGAGGAGATGGAAATCAGGAAGAAGCGCTCGCAGTGGATAGAACAAACAATGCAGAAAGCACCCAACTGCGTCCTAACTTGGAACCCTCAAGATAAAAGGAAAAGGAGGCCAAAGAACACATTACGCCGAGAAATAGAGAAAGATATGAGAAGAATGAACAAAAACTGGAAAGGACTGGAAACGGTAGTCCAGGACAGAGTAGGTTGGAGAATACTGGTCGGCGGCCTATGCTCCAATGGGAATAACAGGCGTAAGTAACTGATTAAGTAATATTTTATTTAATCAGGTTATTTCGTGTAAGTTACTTACTAATGAACACGTGTTAGGCATAA